CCAGGAAATGCTGGTGTTGCTGGGGTTCAGACTATCCCTTTGGTTAGCTCCACTCCTCTCTGGCAAATCACACGTACACACACAAACACACGCACGGAGTAAGGAGATTTCTTACACATAAAGCTCCGTCTTGGTCAATTAAAACCCAGATATCCTCTGGCTGTTCTGTCTGAGGCTTCTCTAAACAGTGAGGAGAAATGAGGAGAAAAATTTTCAGCAAAACCTGAAATCTCAATGCCCTGAGACCCCATGCACTGAGTTAATAAGAAATCTAGCCCAATGCTACTCAAGTGTGACCAACAGGTAGAATTGGCATCGCCTGGGAATGTGTTTAGTAATACAAACTCCTGGATCCCTCTCTGGACCTACTGAATCAGATCTCTGGGTGGGTGGGTGTATTTTCAACTTATGTTTTAACAAGTCTTTCAGATGATTCTGTGCAGAAGCACTAATCTATCTAGACTTTTCCTAAAACTGGGGTCCCAATTATTCCTTTTAAGAAATCTAAGAGGAGGAAGGTTGTTCTTTATGACCAGAATAGCTGTCTATAATTCCTCTGCTCTGGAGCAGGCTACCTTTTCAGGAGAAAGCAGAGCAGTGCGAGCATCTCCAGGGTTCTGCCCACTCTCCCTCAGCAATGGATTAGCTGACGCATCTCCTGCTCAGACATCTCCTCATCTCTACCTGGATGCTCCTCACACACTCTGCCCCACACTGAATTCATCTTCACCCCTAGAACCAACAAATTGGTCAATATTCTCTACTTTGATGGTGTCGTCATCACCTACCCACCATCTGAGCTGCAAACATTGATTCTACTCTCTTTTCTGGTTGCCATATTCAACCAGATGCTAATATTGTATTTCGTATCTACCAAATACTTCTTGAATCTCCCTGTCTTCACCACCCCTCAATCACTTCACCAGTTACTGTCCTTATTGTCACTTGTGGGAAGCGTTTCCCTATCTCTTTAGTCCTTGTCCTCCTGCCCACAATCTTCTCTCCACATTGTGCTGAAAAGGATCAACCTAAGATGCAAATTTGATCATGTCAGACCTTTACTTAAAACCCCTAAGTGCCTCCTCATCCCCTCGAGGAGAAAGTTCTAAGTCTTCAGAATGCCCAGAGAGACCAGCCGCAGGTCAGACCCTACCTTCCTCCCCTTTGTCAGCACCTGCCCCTTTATGCTTCAGCAATGCCGCACTGCTGGTCACTCCCTACCCCTGGGCCCTTTCTCATTTCCGCATCTTCGTTTATGCAGCCCCTTCTGCCAAGGGTGCTTCCCACTCTCTTTGTCAGGCATACTGCCACTTGTCCATTCCAGCGGTGTGCTGGTAAACGTTTAACATCTGGATCTCCAGGGCAAAAAAAGCCTGGCTCTGGAGTATTTGCTGATTTCTGTGGTGTAAACACTTTTGCAATGTCCCAATTTCAAGCGATCAACGAAGTCACTGAATGAGAGCTGGAAAGAGATGTGCACAATTGGGATCCAGCTTTAACTCATCAGAGACTTCGGGTCACCTCCTCCAGGAAGTCTGGCCTCTGTCTCCCTCTGGGCTTTCACAGCAGCTGGGCATTCTCCCTGATGTCCAGTTCCTGCCTTGTTCAGGAATTTTCTTTTTGTGTGCTTCCCACTAGAGGGTGTATTCCAGAAGGCAGAAGGCAGAGACCGTGGTTACTCTACACATTTCCTTCTATGCAGTACACAACAATCATTTGCTGAATAAAGGAATGAACCCATTCTCTGGACCCATCCCTGTTCTTGGCCACATCCTGTCAGTGACTCCCATGAAGTCTCAGAGCACATGCACAGACGATAGGAAGTTGAAAGGACAATGATTTAGCCGGATGCCAAGTAAAGATTGAAGAAGAACACAGAAGATTGATTCCAGGGGCCTAATTCAACAAGTTGAAAATTTAGAGGGAGAGTGAAAGCCACTGTATGAGCACAGACTTAAGGTGATGGGGCTTGGCCACAGCACAAGGGAAAAGACTTGGGGATCTGAATGAATCACGCAATCACTGACCAGCAGGCTCTTGGACTCTGTTAATGGGATCATGGTGTTCGGAGAGAAGGAAGGGAGAAAAAGAAGGAAAAAGGGAAAGGAGTGGGGAGGAAATGAAGGAGCGGGCAAGAGTGAAAGAGGAAGCAAGAAACAAACTTCTCCCAGTGCCTTCAGCATAATTGGATCTTGGGGATGTTATCCCAGAAGAATATAAATTTTCTAAACCGACTACAACTCACTTTCTAAACTTTAAATTACTTCAGGGACTAAAATGGTCCCGAAGAACAAAGTAAAATTTAAATTATCTTCTAAAGGCAATGGCCAGTCCTTTGGAGACTGTGCCCTGAGCACACAAGGCAGGTGGAGGGGAAAAGCCTGGCTGGACCCTTCACTTGTCACACATTCTGAACCCTCACCCTGGCACTTTAGACCCAGTGTCACTGCTTCTGACATGTGGCCTCTTCCCAGCCCTTAGGAAACAGATTATTGTTTCTCACCATTTTTCTGATAAAGGTAAGTACAGGTTTTGATCATACCGAAATATTCATTAGCACAGCTGCATTTCTGCCATCAGACTTGATTGTCATGGAATGGAGGCTTGAGAAGGAGATATAGAAAACCCTTTCATTGGGCATGATGTTATTTTCAGAGTCAAATAGACTCATCAAACTACAAGAGTCTCTAAGATTATCTGGCCTCACTCCACTTTGTGCAGAGAGGAAAGGGCTTGCCCAGCACACAGCTCATTGCCTTCTTCTCATGCCGTTGTCCCTTCTTGATCAAAACTGGGGGCTCTTTCTCCTTTCTTAGTTGAGAATCCAAAGTCTGGCAATAATAACAGCCATGTTACTAGGTCTAGTGATGATGACATGGCGAAAATAGTTTCCTTACATGATCCAGGTCCTTGGGAGAGGGTGGAGGACTGGCTGACATAGAGTGAAAACCCAACCTGGGCCTGACTGACTGCCCAGCACACTCGACACGGGGGCAGTGTGTTCTGGGAGCAGTGTGTCCTGGGCATCTGACTCATCCTCAGGCTCAGGGCTAACCACCTCAGTACTAACCAGCTCTTATAGTCAATTCTTGGATGGTACATTTGCCTCTAAGAGATAGATTGACTTTTTTAAGGCCCTCGGAGAAAAAGGGACACTGACTCTTGTTTATCTTCATGCCAAAGCTGAGCTATTTCTGGATATTTGGAGGGCTGTCTGTGGAAGAGGGATTAAAGTTGCAAAGGAGTAGATTTTAGCTCAAGATCAAAAGGGAATGAGCCTCTCCAGAAGGTTCCTCATAGCACCCCACATCACTCAGGGAGTCATGCCAGGCTGAAGGACTATGAGGAATGCAGTAAGCAGCGTTCTACATTGGAAAGGGATCATTGCTAAATAGACCCTCAGGCTTATTGTCAAAAGCATTAGAGTGATTATTAGGGTTGAAGATGATGATGACGTAATTACTCGTGTAATTATAGTACTCACCGCTCCTGACCCCTGCTAGATTTTGAGCTCTTTGATGTCAGGGGCTATGCTTTTCATTGTTGTAATCCCAGCACCTAGAATTACATCTGGCCCAGAACAGACATTCAATAATTTTCTGTTATGGCACCGACATATGCTAAGCACCAACAGAAAAGTGTCTCAGAGCACTTCAGGCAGGAATTACCCCTGCACACTGAGGAAGGGGCTAGATTACTGAGAGCACTTAGAGAGATGATTATCTGGGAAGTTCATGAATATTTTAGATACAGAGCAAATAAAACCGAATGCCTGACACCCTCAGTGTTGCTGACAAGTTTTTTACTGGTCCAGAATAAATCGCAGTTTAGGGAACACTTAGAAGTCTGAGGGGGAGATTTAAGCATCTCAGAAAGAAGAGCTGGCAGAGCAGGACCCAGGGCTCTAGGAAGAGTCTCCTGGAGAAGCCAGTGCCTCTGGTGCAGGCAGATAGAGAGTGACAAGAAGGGATGCTAAGTCAGAACTCTCCTTTAATCTGGCCACAGTGCACATGAGACTCACTTGTGACCTCAAATGTATAAAAGGATCAACAGGATGTTCAGACCTTGGTCCTGTGGTCTGGGCTAATTCTCTCAGCAGTAACACCAGAGCAGAGGAGCTCTTGGCTCCCACTGGCTCCAAGGAAAGGGACACTTGAGTTTCTGTTTTTTCCTGTTGGTTTTCATTGGTGTTGTCTTGTCTCCTGAGTGCCTTATTCTTTTTTCTTTCTTTTGTTTTTTAAAAATGTGCCAGATGTTGTATTGGCAAAATTATTTGTGGAAATGATTTAGAGAACATGGTGATGTTACCTTCCTTCAGAGTGAATTTATGTTTGCTTCTGTTAGATATTTAGGAACACTAAAAAGCTGGGAGCATCTCAATTCAATTTCAGGGCTTGAGAAGATTTGAAGCTGAACTACAGCACCTGTAAATGTGTGTTTCCTTCTGATTCACTCTTATTCCTTTGGTGCTGCCCTTTAGGGTCTCTTTCCAATGGGAAGCAGCTTCGTTAGGAACAAGTTCTTGGTAGGCCTTGCAATTCAAAGCCTGTTCCCCACATCCAAGAGGCTGTCAGTGGTGCTTCTTGGCCTCTCAGTGGCCTCCTTTAGAAGCTGCAATTGCCTCAGCTGAAATACAGCCTCAAATGCTTGTCTTACTTCTCTGAATTCCTATTTTATGCCAGAATTATAACCTTATGATTCCTTGTTGTCTTATCACCTTGCCAATGTTTTAGACAGACGATTCATACAGTTCATTCAGTTGTGCTAATTGCAGGAGAGTTAGTCCAAATTAATTTGTTTGTTCTTACTGGAAGCAGAAGTTAAATATTGATCTCTACTATATTTTTCCTAGAATTCTGTAGAAATGACCGAATTGTCAGAGCTATTCTTCAGTTGCTCAGTAGGGTGGAGATTTTTGCCTGGTTGCCCAGGCACCTTTGGTGTCAGAGAGTGCTGAGGTTGACTTTCTCAGTTCCTGCAGGTGACAGAGTAGATGCAACATGGACAGGTCCAATCAGACATCCACCGTGGTAGGGTTCATGCTCCTGGGCCTCTCAGCCCACCCAAGGCTGGAGAAAATGTTCTTTGTGCTCATCCTGCTGATGTACCTGGTGATCCTGCTGGGCAACGGGGTCCTCATCCTGGTGACCATCCTTGACTCCCGCCTGCACACGCCCATGTACTTCTTCCTGGGGAACCTCTCCTTCCTGGACATCTGCTACACAACCTCTTCAGTCCCCCTCATTCTTGACAGCTTCCTGACCCCCAGAAAAACCATCTCCTTCTCAGCCTGTTTTGGGCAGATGTTCCTCTCTTTTGCAATGGGAGCCACAGAGTGTGTGCTCCTGAGCATGATGGCGTTTGATCGCTACGTGGCCATCTGCAACCCCCTAAGGTACCCCATAGTCATGAGCAAGTCTACCTATGTGCCTATGGCTGCTGGCTCCTGGGCAGCTGGTATCACCAACTCTGTAGTTCAGATATCCCAGGCCATGAGGCTGCCCTTCTGTGGGGACAGTGTCATCAACCACTTCACCTGTGAGATTTTGGCTGTCCTGAAGTTGGCCTGTGCTGACATCTCCATTAATGTGATCAGCATGGTTGTAGCCAACATACTTTTCCTTGCAATCCCTGTGCTGTTTATTTTTGTCTCCTATGTGTTCATCATTGCTACCATCCTGAGGATCCCCTCAGCTGAGGGGAGGAAAAAGGCCTTCTCTACCTGCTCTGCCCATCTTGCAGTTGTGGTCGTCTTCTATGGGACCATCCTCTTTATGTATGGGAAGCCCAAATCCAAGGACCCACTGGGGGCAGACAAACAGGACCTTTCAGACAAGCTCATCTCCCTCTTCTATGGGGTGGTGACCCCTATGCTCAACCCCATCATCTACAGCCTGAGGAACAAGGATGTGAAGGCTGCTGTGAAGAACCTGGTACATCAGAAACACCTAACTAAATGACTGTCACAGATTCCCAGACTGCCAGATGCAAGACCTCTAAACTCATTGTACTTGTGGGAAAATAGTAACTCAGGGAGGTCCTTGGGCTGTCGGTGGAAAGAGCCTTTTCATTTCTGGTACTGCTGATTAGTATGTTGACTTTACAAAAGCCATACTGTATCACATCATAGCTATATTTTGCCACCCAGATCTTAAATCCTCTGATAGCAGAATTTGATGAATATCTATAAAGATTTATAGATGTGGTCAGAAGAAGCAAACAAACAAAAATTTTGGTGGTACTGGGACTTTAGAGTATATTGTTGTTCCCTGTGTAGTACAGCTGCTTACTCTGTTCTGCTTTGCTGTTATCCAGAGACCTTTGCTTTAGCTGATCGAGGGGTCAACTGAAAAATGTCACCTGCCCCAACATATAGTAGTGATATTAGCACCATGGCAGGAATTTCACTCACATATTAGCACTAGAAACAGCAGGACTTATCTTGAGTAGCTGCTTTGTTTTGATCTAATGGACTCTAATACTCTTGCCATTCACCATATTCTCCACTTTTTGTCACTGCAGGGAAGCTCAGAGGCAAGCATGCCACCTCACTGCAGCAGCAGTAGAAGGCTGCATGACTGAGTGCCAGAAGCTCCCAAACTTTCGTCCATGCAACCGACATGACACAGGGATGGCAGTTACACCCAGCGCACACTCCATGAATATGCCCGCATTGTGATGAAACCCCCAAAAGATCATAAGGAAGCAAATGCAAAAAGCATTCTCAATTCCACAACAAATATGAGGCCAGTAGTAATAGTTACTCCCTACCATCTGCGCACAGGTGGGATCGGCACAGGTGGGACTGGTATAGCTCCCAGAGCTCTAAGTCCATGATTTTCTCTTATGCTCAAGGAACATATTCAAATAGGAGCAAAACTTACTGTATTACAGCAATTATTTTTAATCCACTTCAATTTGTATTTGTAAAAGTCAGTTATTACCCAACTACGGTCCTTTAACTATTATTCGTATATATCGAGTTGTTTTCTCATTTTTTTTCCTCCCTCCTCTATTTCCTCATTTTCATGTTAAATCAGCTCTCTTCCCCTACTGGTTAATAGTTTCCTCCAAAGTTGTATTCTATTGCTGTATAAAGTGTATATATTTAGAACCTATTTGAATTGAAAAAACATAGAAGTTTGGAATCCATATGTAATTGTATTATCTACAACATCAGAAAAAATCTTCATATTGAAAATGGAATCTCTTTTAAGAATGGTGTATATATGTATGTGCACGTATGCATGTCTGTATGTGATTTTATAATTGGGATGAAAAAAGATTAATAACAATGCATTGATTTGCGGCTACCCGATCTAAACTTTCTCCTACAACTTACTGACATAACCCAGTTATTTCCTGAACACAAACCTTTATTCCAATCAGTCATTTTCCATTTTTGACTGCTGTGAAAAGAATACATGAATAAAGCAAAATCTCTAACAACCATGCCTGATAAACTAGTGTCCAAAAATGCTTTGAAATATTTCCTCTCTACAAAAAGAACCCATTGGGACTGCACTGCATATTAACCACTGTTAGAAAAAGATTTTAAATTGCTTCCCCCTGGGTTTTTTTGTTTTTTTTTTTTTTGTATTTCTATCCCAGTACATCTGTGTAACCTGTGGCTAAGTAAGTTTTAATCTAGCTCTGCTTAATCAAAGCTGAGGAAGTTTTAATCTAGCTCTGATTAGTCAAAGATTACAATAAGACCATTATCATCAGCACAGCAGTTATAGCTGTCAGAATAAGAAATCTCTGATGTGAGGCCATTGTTTTTATCCCTTTTTCTTCACCCGGCCACCTCCAACCTCTTTCTTCCACTTATGTAAATATTGTTATAGAAAGGCCAACAGTCACCCCCCATCCTTCATTCTGTATTTACTACCAGTCTTGTTTGTTACAGAATCCCAGATACATCTTTTCTTCTACATAGTTCATATCGAAGTCATAGGTTCATCTAGCTTTTCCTTTGGACATTTACACGTAGAAAGTTCTCCTCTTGTGCAGCTTCGTCTAGATTTATCACTTATACCATAAAGTTTTAGAAACATGGACTTGAAAGAGCATCCAATTCCTTATACTTCTCTGGAGTTAACCAAAATACTCAGTTTCTAGTATTACTGGGGACCAGTTGGTGCTCAACACAGCCAACATCCTCCTACATGTCTCTTCATACTGCTTTTGCTGCCTCCCATAAGTTTTGGCATATTTTGTTTTGTTTTTCTTTGTCTAGAGGTATTTTATTTACTAATTTCCTTTTTTATTTCTTCTTGGACCCAATGATTGTTCACGAATGTGTTGTTCAAGTTCTACATATTTGTGAATTTTCCATTTTTCCTTCTGCTGTTTTTCTAGTTTCATTCCATTGTGGTCAGAAAAGATATCTGGTATGATTTCATTCATACTTAAATTTGTTAAGACTTGCCTTGTGATCTAGTATGTGATCCATCTTGGAGGAAGTTCCATGTGCGCTTGAAAAGAATATTCTACTTTTGAGTAGAATACTCTATACTGGCTAAAAGTTATGGAGGCCCTGACTCCGAAAATTCCCAAGAGGGTGGAAAGCCTCTTAGTGATCGAGACAAAATATTACTTGCTGTGTTAATACTGTAGTTACAGCAAGTCTTATTAATGATTAATAACAGAGTAGAAATGAAAATTATAATAATACTTTTTGCTTCCCCAAAAATATTTTTAAAATTTCCTTATAGTTGAGCACACATAGTTCAGGCTCAATTAGCCTCAATTCTATTAAGACTTCTGTTCTTGAATTCTGTGATTTCCATAATTAACCCAAATGAATTGTTATTTAGGAAAAAAAAAAAAAAGGAAAAAAATTTACTTGACTTTGCACAAATGAATCTTAATCCTTACCATGAAAAGAGCAAAACAAAATAGGTTGGGATGAAAGTTGAAAGAGTCAAATGGCTCACAGCTGATACTGGCTGTAGACACGGGGACCATCAAGAGTCCCAGGGAATCCTCTGGGGATCACAGCGGGTCCTGTTTGTTTCCAATTACACCTCATGCTTTGTTCCTTTGGGGGTTAAGTCTAGGACCCTGAGTATTATGGAAAGCCCAAATTTAATTATTAGAAGAGCTGCTTCCAGCACTCCCAAAGAAAATAAGATAGCTGTTCAAAGAGGAACTGGGTGGGGGAGGATCGAGAGTAGGGTAGGCAGGCTGCTCAGATCAGCATAGACTGAGTCACCCCCCTCTGTACCTCTAGAGGTGCTCTCAGCCTAAGCCAGGAACCCAGAGGCCTGCCTTCCAATTATACCTCCATCACTATTTGCTACTGCTTAGCACTTGGCTAAGTTTCTTTGCCTTTCTGGGCCTCAATTTCCTTATCTGTAAGATGAGAGTGTATCACCCCTTCCCTCTCAATAGGCAATGCCCAAAGAGGGACATGGGGAAACCCCAAAGAGGGACAATTCATGGCTCACATGCCACAACCTGCTTCTCATTGATTAGAGGTCTCCTCTGGTCTCACTTTCCCATCACACCCTCCACAGTGCCTGAGCAACAGCTCCAAACTTCTAATGCCACTTAGAGCACTGTTCGAAGGAGACTGGTGGTTGATTGTGGCTCTGACTACCAGTACCTGCTGCACACCCGCCATCTGGTGGACGTTTCTTCAAAATCCTGAGACCAGAGCTTCTCAAACTTTATGAGTCACCTGGGGGTATTGTGAAAATGCAAATTTGGATTCAGTAACTCTGAAGTGGGGTCCGAGATTCTACATCTCTGACAAATTCTGCAGGCCACACTTTGAGCAGCAAGCCCTAGAAGACTTTGGACCAGGGCTGAGGGACTGAAGGAAGAGACAGAGAAGCAACTCCTGTGTAGAGATCTCCTGAAGTGTGCCAAGTCCTCTGGCATCAGCAACCCAGGTGGGTCTCTCCATGATGGGGGCAGCAATTTGCACTGTGACCTCACTTCTCTTACGGATCTAAGATTTGTCAATTTATCAATGTGATCACCTTTTTACTTGCTGATACAGTGGTGACTTCCAAAAACTTACATGCTAGACCAAAAAGCATGCATTCTTATTGCAAATACTTCTAAAATGCGCAAGTACAAACAGACACAGAAATGTAGTCAAGTAAAAGTTAAGAGGCACAAATATAACAGAGGAAGAAATACATGTCAAAATTTTCAGAAAACACAATTCTTGTATTTCTAAAACTTAAGTAGAAAACTATTAGCAGTAATATGAGTTCAGAAAAGTTAAGGAGATAGAAATAACTTCCTAAAAATCAATTATATTTCTCTGTACCATAAATACAAAGAAAAAAAAAAACCCAGGAATAATAGCCCTTAGAGTAGTAACAAGTCTCAAAGAATTGAGAACAAACAGAATTCCAGACATGACAGATTGAGTCAAGGAAAAATTTTAAGTGTTATGGGAGTATGAAGGGAGGCAGAAATACCACAATAAAAATGACCTCAATATTTAAGGTGGAAGCATTCAAATTGTAACAAACAGAAGAACTTCTTTAGTATGCATACTCTTGGGCTCTACCCTCAAAGATTTGAATTTCATTATGTCTGAGGTAAGGCTAGTAGGAAACCTGGGCTTAGAAACATAGTTATTTAGGGTTTTAAATCTCCCCAAAGACTCTATGAACTACACAAATTGCTAGTGAAGAACAATTGAACATTACAAGGGTCTTTTGAAGGTAAAAATATTAGATTCTTCCTACCAGATTTGAACTTATAATGAAATAACAACTATGAATTATATATCATGTTTTTTAAAAGTTTTATAAAATCAATGCTATCAGAGATACCAGAAAATTAATTCCAAGTATAAGAATTTAATACATATATGTCAGATCAAAATCAATAGCACGAAGAAGGAACCACCTCTTAATAAATAGTGGGACAGCAACAGCATTCGATTGAATGAAACTTTGCCTTTGATCCATATATCACACCATACGCTGCCATA